CCCTCAGAAGCGCGGGGAGCAGGGGAGAGCACGGCTGAGCCGTCAGGGCAGGGGAGACAGGGATACTGCGGGCTTTCTGTGCCAAAGCAGGAAAGTTGGTTCTTTATGCTCAACTCGTCATTCTTACTTCACTACCAAAGTACCAGTTTCTTTTGATTTCTTTTCTTTTTAGAAACCTTTTCTTCTCAGAGTCAACGAATGCTGTAACTCTACTTAATTCTATATTTACTAATCAGGAGCTCAAAGAAAAAGTAGAGATTTGATCCACTGTTGCTCATAACTTTTAAGAGACATAGCTCTATAATTGCCACTTAGTTCTGCAACCAGTGGGACTTGGTTCTGGAGTATATCATCAGAATATATCTTCTGCTCCACTTCGATTTTCTGTGGAGTTCTTTCATAAGGAATTTGACTTTTGGTTATCTGTTTATGGAAAAAAAAAGGCTTTTACTCATGAATGGCAAGTGCATGTGAACAACATTATGCCTTCACACAGTAAAGAGCTACGTAACTTCTGAGGCAAATCTTTTTCTGACTTGTTTTGCCATTTTTTTTAATCACAATTATTTTTTTTTTAATTTGCTACGTAGAAATAGAAAACATTCTTTTAATATTTGATCAGAAATTATTTGCAGCTCAACCAAAGTCAATATATTGAAAATCAAATTGCAGTATCTCTACAGATAGCTTAGGGATAGAAACTCCAGGCTGTTGTAGATAAATATAAAACAGAGAATGGTTTACAGTGCCATAAGACTATGTTAAAGATATATTTATTATCCCTAACATTGTCTTTGCTGAAGGAGTCAGCTGGAGGACACATCTATAACACATTTGACTTCCAGCTAGATGTATTATTTATATGCAATTATACAAAATTTGATTTAACGTATTCTGTTATTATCAAGAATTTCGATAGTTTGAGCTGGACTTAGGCAGAAGTACTATGTTTTTGTACATTCTTTTTCTCAAATAATTCAGGAGTCTTCTCATCTGTTGCTGCAGTATACTTTTCCTCTTGTAAAAATAAAAACCCTCCCTTCAGCCAAGTCTGTATAACAAGTTTCTTTCTAATACTGCATGTTACTCCAATATTGTTCTTACAGTGTGCCCCTTCTCACACAAGCCACTCTAAGATTCTACTAAATCAAGTAATATGTGAAATGTTGTATTAAATATTAGTACTCTATTGTTATATAAAAGAGCAGCAAAATACCAAATTAGGAATTTTTCTGGTTTTCACCTGACACTATGGAAGCAGGTAGGTTGTTTGAGGGATCCTTGGTAGAGAGACCAATTTCCACATGGTTGTGATTATAATTAGAGCTTTATTATAAAATAAAAAAATTAACAATCATCATAACATTGTTATCTACAATTTCTAGCAGGTAGGACAGTTTATTGTTACACAGATTTTTTTTCAGCAATTAGCATAGCTTACAGCTTAAACAGAATTTGAGTAACTTTCTTATTTTCTAGAATTTTTTTTATTTACCTAGACATTTAAGTTACTTGGACCCTCTGCTGTTTGAGTCAAATTCTTAATGATCAGCATGCGGCACAATACTGTAATCTAGGCTCAGCCTTTAACTAAAAAAACTAAAATGTGAGCTACTCATTCCTTGGCGGAAGAAGATGATGATGGTGGAGACATCCCTGACCATCAGGAATTCACGGGTTTTGCCATCCAGCATCAGCTCCAGTCTAAGCTGTTAGGGCTGTTAGTGGACATGGGTTCTTAGACTTGCCTGTTCTGTATGTCCTGGTGACAATGCTGGTGGGCAAGCGGTCTTATTGCAATGTTGGAAAACGGGTAGAAAGAAGGGGGTGGGGTGGGTGTGTGCAGTGCACTTATGGATAGTGGATGTTTGCCTTATAAAATGATGTTTTCTATGCTAACCATATTTCCAGAGGGCACTGGTCACAGTGGGTTAGGGTGGTTCTTTGTCACACAGTGTTTGAAAAGAAGTTCAATAGTTTGTTATAACAGCCAGGCTTTATCTAGATTTTCCTTTTCAATTTATTATCTTTGCTAGAAATAATCTAATAACAGTTTAAAACACTTTTGTGATGAAATTTGACTGCAGGGATAATGAGTAAAACATTCACTCAGTTGATAACAAAATTACATTTACTTAATGGATGTAAACGTTCGCATTTTCTGACTTTAAATTTCTGAAGTGAATAAAGCTGTTCTATTTTTAATTATAAACAAATTTTGTTAATCCACTTGTACTTTAACTGCTGATCATCTGACATCTGTACTTAAGCATTCCTTTATGTTTGCATGAAATAGAGAAAAGTTTCCTTGTGTATTTTTGCATGATTTTGTGACTTCTTTCTCTCCGTAGGGAAGCTTTTATAGTTCCTAATTTTGTCTCATCTGCTATACCAAACATGCAAGAGGAAGGGTAGTTTTTAGTAGAGGTGTGCTCAGAAGGACAATATAGTCCACAACGGAGAAATAAATTTTTCAAGGACCACTGTGCCCAGCTATTCTGTCTTCCTTTGTTATGTTGTTGTTGCTGGTAGCTTCTGTTTGCCTAAAGCACATTTTTCAGGGTAACTTCAAGTCTTGACCTGAAGATCCCAGAAGATAAAAACATCCATCAGTTTTCACTGTTTTCTTTGGTAGTGTTATCTTCTGAACTCTTTCACTCTTATTTAAATGTGTTTAAAATGCCTTGCTTAAATTTGGCTAACCTTGATTTTCTCTCAGTGGTGCCTGCCCTTTCTCGCCCTGTGCTAATTTAAAGCACTCCTTAGTATCCTTCAGTATTTTCTTACCATGATATCACTTACATGGCAACGGATCATGTTCCGATTTACTTGTTACAGAGCTGTCATGTCCAATCAGCAGCAGTTTGATCGACATAATGTAGGAGCACATGATCATATTTCTGATGCATTAGTTACTGGATGTGCTGTGGTGTTTATACTGAATGTGTGGGTTTGTGGTGGATTTACGCCAGTGACAGGGGAACAGACATTACCTGATCTGACACAGAGTTAGAGTAGTGCAGACACATGATACTTCATTCAACACGAGGTTGGTCAGGATAAAATTACCTTTTCATAAATTTAGGAACAGGTTTAAACCAGCAAAATTAACTTGTCCTGCTTTTGGATGTGGTGTCAGGTAGCTACAACATTTTTTATTTGATCTGAGGTATCGTAAACTAGATTTATAATGACACTGAACCGCAGCAGAAGGCTTACAATGCAAGACATTTCTACCCCTCCCCTCAGTCCCTCAGATAATTTCTGTGTCATTTTAAGCTCTCTTCTTTTTTTATATCCGTTTTAAAATTAAGACATCAGTGTGATGCATAATACAGAGGTGGAGTTGTAGTAGCATGTCTAGAGACAACATTACTTTCCTGTTCCCCCATGCTTACTCCCATGTTTACAGGTTGGGAGAGAGCTTTTCAGCTTGGAGTCATGGTAGGATGCCCTGTATTTCCAGGCTACTTAGAACGCTCTGGAGCTGGTGTAACCAGGACTGTAACCAAGGTTACAATCTATCGCTCCTTAGGAGTTGTTTCTGTTTGTATCACTGTATTTCTTTGATTTTAAAGTAACTTTTCTACCTGGGCATACTGCTCTATAGTTTCGTCTCACACAGGTTGATATTCACCAGTTGTCTAGAATTTGTGCCATGTGCCAGCTTAATCAGTGGTAATTTTGTATTTATTGTCAGATTGTAGAGGAGTATGCTGGAGTGTTGTAATGATCACTCTAACCCTTTTCTGGAAACTCACTGGGTTAATGCTGATGGCTCCTCACTGACGAGGACTTTGGAGGACCTCTCTGCTTGCCCGGAGGAGCCCCATGGGCCAGGTCTGGCAGGTGCTGTGCCCCCACCCAGCCCACCGCTGACACAGAAAGGAGAGGATCATCTGAGTACTGACTGCAGGCCAAAGTGCCAACCCTCCCCTAGTGCTGCCCACAGAAAATTTGCTGCCCAAGAGGATGCAAGATGGAGGTGGATGAAGCCAGGAGACCTTGCCTCCATCCTGCCTTGTCCGGTGTCCTGTGGTGAACCGTGACAGCAGTACGCTTTCTGCCTTTCTCTGCCACCGCTAGGCAGCAGCCTCTCTCTTCGTGGCTTTCGTGAAGAACTGAAAGCGCGGGCGGCTGCTGCTGCTGCTGCTGAGGGGAGGAGATAGAAGGGAGAAATCTCCAATCCCACGCCCTGCTTGTTTGGCTGCCATCCTTAGCTAGCCAGTTCTTTGTGTCTCAATGTGCACTTGATTGCCGCAGCATGGTGTGAATGTAATGAAATTCAAATGCTCTTCGGTGCTGAAGATAACATCCTTAAATCTGAATTATCCAAAATCTGAAAAAAAAAAAAAAAAAAAAAAAAAAAAAAAAAAAAAAAAAAAAAAAAAAAAAAAAAAAAAAAAAAAAAAAAAAAAAAAAAAAAAAAAAAAAAAAAAGTAAATCTGAATTTATCACATCTATTCTAGTTAAACTCACAGCTTCTTCGTTTTGAGCAGGTAGATTCTGTGAGGGTAGGACCTCCCAAATTGATGGGGTGAGAAGGCAGAGAAAAGGAAAAAGAAAGAGAGAAAAGCAACAAATGCCAAGTCTACCATCTGTGTACACAATCTCAGTGGAAAGCTGGCCATGAGCTTAAAAGGATGAGTGGCATAAAATGTAAATACAGGAATACTTCTCATGATAAATGACTTACAAAGTATTTTGCTTTGAAATGTAGTTTGTAATACAGCCTTTCCTGCTGGAGGGCTTGTGCTA